TACAATAGCTTTGTTATCTATCACAGTTGAGTCATCAATCTGCAACGCAAATTTACCTTCTCTCTTAAATTTAACGAGTTTTGATTCAACGTCTGCACCCATCTCATCAATAAGCCTGGAAACAGTATTATTGCTCAGAGGTTTTATATTATTGCTCGATCCCTCACCCTACATGATTTCAACAATTTTTTTAGTAGCAGGTAAAATAAGAGTTCACCAAATGTGTGAGGTTTAGAGTTATATAAATATTTCGTCTATCAATCCGTTTCTCCTATTACATGCCTTTTAAAATCGGAGGGATGGGAATGAGACGAGAGAGGAACATTTGAGGAGAAGAAGATATATAAAAGACCATGACTTTCAACAAAAGAGAATTCTTGAAGGTCAGATTTCCGCCAGCGATACCAAAACGTATGACGAAAACGATACTGAACTTGAAATTTTTTAATTTTTAACTATCGTAATTCTTTGTCTACACCAGAACCATAAGCTTCATATATGTTTTCAATTTTGATCTCAAATAGCTTTTGTCATTAATATTATTAGCAACTTTTATCTTTTGAATACTTGTCGCCCCCCGATCGCCCCCCTAAGGATTATCGCCCCCATGAGGAGCTCTATCGCCCCCAGGTTGGNAAAAAAAAAAAAAAAAAAAAAAAAAAAAAAAAAAAAAAAAAAAAAAAAAAAAAAACAGAACTGCCAAACTTTGAAACTACCCAATTCATTTTTTTCCTGTTTAGTGTTTTTTCTTTTCTTTTTATACTTGTTGCAGAGACTATAATGCCATGGTGTAGGATTTAAGAAAAATCGCAATATAGATGGCGCTTTTTCATCGCACTTCTAACACAACTCGTGAGATAAATAAGATAGCTAAGTTCATTTGCTTGTATTTGTTTGTTTTGTTTAACTGTTAATTAAACTTGACCAGTTGTACAATAAAGACCCGAAAAACTTTAATTATTGCGTTTCTCTTCTTTTTATTTTAGCGAAATGATATACAAGTATATAAGCTCATCCAGTGAACTAAATGAAAAATTTTTTCGAGCAGTGAAAGCGATACGGACACTTGATAAAGATTCAAAAGGCAATTACAGAGTAGCAAATGCAACGCACGAGTAAGATACCTATTTATGTACTTTTTAGAAAGGGCTGAAATTTATTTTTTCCCCACTAATTTCTTTCATATGTTACCCGACGCTTAAGGTATTTTTCAATTATTACTTTGCAACAACATGCGCATGCTAACACCATACACTATCATATATTTATAACATATATCTATCATATATCTAACATATAACATATATAATCTATCATATATTTATAACAGCCTTAGAAGTCACAGATACATTTCTCGGCTGAAACCTGAAACGTGACAGGAATATTATAAGTTTTTTTTAGAGTAACACCGATAAGTATTCTAAAAAAACTAAACTCATTGGAGCGACAGCCCATAGGGGGCCAAGGCCTACTGTGCCCATCTCAGTTTTCTTGACCTTGGGTTCTAGGGTGCGAGAGCAGATTCCGGTTTGGTGGTCAGCCGAGGGCGGAAACACCAGTGTTTAGTTCCCAAGCATGCTTGGTACGCATTTATCGACCCACTGAAAGGATGAAAGGCTGAGTCAACCTTGCCCGGCCGAGGAACGAACCTAGGACCTGTGGCACGGGAGCGCGAACCGCTACCACTCAGCCACCAGGAGTCCGATATGTATTCAAATTCCTCTTATTTTTTTCCAAAAAATTATGATTCTTTTCTGTTAGCCGGGTGCAAGAAAATTCAACTTTTTCTTTGATTTATTTTTTTTAAAAAATTCATTCAATTTTTTTAATTTTATGTGTTTAAAAAAATAAATTTAAAAAAAATGTTGAAGCAGGTTTACAGTTTTTGGCGACTTTCGCTTGAAATTAATCGAAAACCGAAAAGTTCAACAAAAAAATTTCCTCACATCGTAGACGTTGCCAGATGTATCATTGATTAAAAATAACATCTTTTGTAAAAATGTTCTCATTAACATTACATCATAAAATACTTGTACTCAACTAGTTGTAAAAAGAACGCAAGACAATATATGCTGCAATTGCGTTTAGATAATGCCAAATTTTTACAGTGTCGTTATTAGCTAAATAATTTTTATTTATTTATTTATTCTTTTTTGTAGGAATATGATGGTTGGTGTGAAAATATATTATAATACTTTGCAAATCGATCATGACAGCGAAGTGGCTTCGTATAGTGTAAGTAATTTTGATATTTTGTATATAAGAACATATATAATATGCATGTTACAGTGGTAGTCTGAAATCTAGTAATTGTTGACAATCACATAGTCGCTTTAGACGATGTTCGAAATATCTGTTGAATATCATTATTTCACACTAACACCAGCTAATGCCATCAACCAGCATGCAATGATGGATTTGCATTTAACCCTTGACTTAAGCTACGTTTCAGGAAAATGCTGCTCTCTGTATTTTGGAACTTCTGCCGAATTTTAGAGTACTCTATCTGGGCAATGTTCTTTAAATAAAAAAAACAAACATCAATAGCTGAAATTCTGCTCTATGAGATTAATCAGCATTTTTTTAAATCTTTACCGCAATACATCAATGCAGAGCCATGATGGCTCAGGGGATGATGGCTTTCGCACTCGCCTTCCGATGAGGCGAACCGGGTTCGAATCCCAGTCGATACGAATTCCGCATCCGGCTTGCATCGACCACAGTGCTAACGTGAAATATCTTCAGTGGTAGACGAATCATGGGTTAGAGTCCCCTTGCCGTCAGGTTAACCGTGAGAGGTCCTCGTGATCTTCCTCTCCATGTAACGCAAATGTGGGTTAGCTCCGTCAGAAAGTCCTCCACAAAGGCAAATTTCTCCCAATACTCAATCCAGGGTTTCCTTTGTCTTATAGATTGAGTTCAAGATTGAAAGGCTACTGAGTTGAACATTAGTAGTCGTAAACCCATAAAATTGGGTCAGCTGTTCAACGACGGTTAATAGNGGGACAGTTGTAACAAGTACACGACTGTCAAAAATTGTTAATAACTAATATAATAACATTTAAAATAAGGTATTTATTATTTTTCTCTAGTTGATGATAGTCTTCTTTACTCGTCTGTCAATTAATACTAATAATATATTGGATTTTTTGTTAGTTAAAAATAGTTAAGTAAAAAATGTTACAATTGACCCCACTCTCCCCTACTCTATCTGGGCAATGTTCTTTAAATAAAAAAAAACATCAATAGCTGAAATTCTGCTCTATGGGATTAATCAGCATTTTTTTAAATCCTTATCGCAATACATGAAAGCAGAGCCGTGATGGCTCAGGGGATAGAGCACTCGCCTTCTAATGAGGCGAACCGGGTTCGAATACCAGTCGATACGAATTCCGCATCCGGCTTGCATCGACCACAGTGCTGACGTGAAATATCTTCAGTGGTAGACGAATCATGGGTTTAGAGGTCCCCTTACCGTCAGGTTAACCGTGAGAGGTTCTCGTGATCTTCCTCTCCATGTAACGCAAATGTGGGTTAGCTCCGTCAGAAAGTCCTCCACAAAGGCAAATTTCTCCCAATACTCAATCCAGGGTTTCCCTTGTCTTATGGATTGAGTTCAAGATTGAAAGGCTACCGAGTTGAACATTAGTAGTCGTAAACCCATAAAATTGGGTCAGCTGTTCAACTACGGTTGTAAATATAAATAAATACATGAATGCAATACTGTTGTTACTCATTATAATTAATTACTCATTATTTATCCATCTATATATGTAATAGAATAAAGAATTTTTGTGTTTGCCTGTATACTGGATTGCTGGTAAACGGCTGACTTTAATAATACGGAATTCAGCAAGAAGCTAAATTAATTGTAAACAAATGACGCAACCAGAACATCTTACTTATTTTTGATTAATATTTTTAAGGTTATCTGAAATCACGTGTTTATTTTGCTCATAGTTGTGCTTTCAAAACGTGTTACTTTGAAACTAAATAATTTTAAAACAACTGTAATTGAAATTTAAAAAAATGGTTTGAGCTAAGAAGCAAAATTAAGAGAGAAATGGTATTAATTCGTTAAAGAGAAACGTAACGAAACGCCAATATTATTATTGACGTAGATGGTAATTAACTTTGGTAAAGGTAACAAATTGAAATAGAAAATAAGCTATGAACTAAAAAGTAAAGTTAATGGAGAAATGGTACTAATTCGCTTAAAAGAGCGTAAAAAGTCGCTTCGCTATTACTGATGCTTAATTTTGGTAATAGGATTTTTTTACTTTCTTTCCTTTCCTCCAAGAGTAATAGGTACTATTGATATGGTAATTGGTGCAGTTTTATTAGGTACCAAATACACCCTTATAGGTTCAAAACATTTATTAGTAAATTTGATGACGATCATAGCTGCGCCAATTATGACAGATTTTTAACGGCCCCTCGAAGTAGCTTGATTGTGGACACTTTTATAAATGAGTTGCCTAGAGGCAACTCATTTTGGCATAATGCTGTAGCTCGAGCTACAGCATTATGACAGATGATACTGATGCTAGCATGATATGATAGCATTATGCCAGATGAATACAGTTAGTCTACATTTTGATGAGATGAACTACTAAGAATGTGTTTTGCTTAATCTGAAAACGTAAAGCCACCGAGTAGGGCAACACATAATAAATATGTATTGGAATCATTTTGGCTTTTTTATTTAAGGTATTTGTCTGAAAGTTTTGTGTACGATTTTATAGTGTTGTGCAGTACTGATTAAACGATCTCCCGATGATGTATTGATTACCCCGCACTGATTAAATGATTTCTTTCACCCCGTACGGAAAACGGGTATTTAGATACTTAACAATATAAATTTAATTATAAACTTGATGAATACACTTGCCTGGTGTTCCCTACACTGATTTTCTTATGATTGGCAATTGCTTAGAAAACTTTTGTCAACTAGTACAAAAGAATCAAACTAGACAAACTAGTACTATAATTGTTTAGGCAAACTAGCACTATAATTGCTTTAGAGACAAATAAGTACTATAATTGTTGAAATTAAATTGCAATTGTAAATAAACAGATCATTTTGAGAAAAAGAATATTTTAATAAAGATTATAACATAAGACAAACTTAGACGAAAAAAAAGAACACTTCTATTGATATGTTTTCTATTATAATAATAATAAAAGGTTGCCAAAATCAAACGAACAAAAACAAGTCAATGCATCAGTCAGACTGCTTACAACAACCTCGATTTGCTGATTCCATCAATAACCTCCGGTCCTGGTACTTTATATTCTTTCATAATTGCTATAATAACTAACAGTACTATAATTGCTTAGACAAACAAGGACTATCATTGCTTAGAATACTCGGATAGACTATATTTGAGGATGCCCCTTGATTCTCGCCAAGTTGTGATCGCCAAGCTGGGCGATGTTGAAACCCAATCGTGATTCTCAACGGTTTAGATTTTAGCGTTATTAATGTTCAACGGTATACGTAATTTCAGAGGTCCATTAGTTCTTCGTTAGATACCGGCTGGTAAGGTTACTTTTACTTCTGGTCAATAAGATCGAAGGTATGTGGGCAGTCATAAAAAGTTTTTAGNGCTAGTAGAGAATTTTGTGCCTGAGGATATTCAAGCTTAATGAAGAAGTGAGTTGTTTTTTTCTTTTTCTTTCTGTGCTTGCTCCATTAATTTTTGTTTCGATTCAAAATACATTTTATTGGGCTTATTAATTTTGCTTATATAGGGTTCATTGCAATTTTATAAAGTTTTGGCCGATGTTTTGTTGAAATTTTCCAATGTTTTATTGAAATATCCTTATGTTTTGGCCGTCATTCCTGTTACCACGGTGTTCCGCGCAAACAGGAATGGCGCCAAACATAAGTCGCCGATTTCGCCAAGGGGCACCCTCAAGTATATTTTTACCGAATACTCCTCAATAATGTTTATTTATAAGGTAGATGATTTTTCACGCATGCGTACAGAGTGCAGCACTTTCTTGAATCTTCGCTCTGGTCGCTAGACGCGAGATCATCACTGCTTTGCTTGTTGGCTGTTGCTAGTGCCAAGAAGGAATAATACTATTTCGGACATCCTCCAAAGCCTATATGCCTGTCAACGCTAAACGTTGACTGTCGGCAATAGTAAATTCACCGATTACGAACCTTTACAATTACATAAATATAATTTATTGAGTGGTTCGAGAGCCTTTGTTTTAAACTTTTTGCCATTTTAAATACGTTTCCACATTAATGATCTGTAGTATAAATAAAAAAAATAACTAAATGATTACTATTTGTATGTTTGCAGTGCATTTTGAATGATATATTTGGACCTCGACTGAACTTCGACTAAGTGTCCCCTTTAAAAAAAGTGTGGGTATTAAGTTTTCCAAGCCAAAATGTCTCAATTAGAAAATTTTTTTTAGATTTTTTCAAAAAAATTACCAAAATGTCAGTAAATTCAGTATAAATTTTTAAAATACTTCCTTTTTTTCAATAAAGGGTTTTTAAATTTCGACAATAGTTACATTAAATTATATTTTATTTAATAACAGTATTTTTTGAAAACATGTAAGAAATCTTATGATATTCAAACTGAAAATGTTCCACAATCTGTAGAAGTATACATTTCTTAATGGAGGAAGAATAAAATAAAAAAATATTCTTAAAAGTAACTTCGCATCACAGACATTTAGTGCTCCCTGTACTCCCTTTTCACCCGTGCGATAAGTCATATGCGTTAAGAATTTTGACTAAATAAAGTTTAAAATAATTTTTTAATAAGATACAAACCAGATGAAATTTCAGAAATGTAAATCAAAATATTTATCTACTATCTCTTCGCGGACACATTCTAAGTCTGCTTTCAATTGGGTACTTCACTTCAAGAAGAAGACCTCCCATATATGTACCCAAACACGTGACCTCAGACGTCAGCTAATCTTCATCAGCTAAATGGCGTATTAAAGTTGAGTTAAGTTTCTCTACATAAGTTAGAATGTCAACCCTTTGCACTCGAAGTTCTTTCAGCTGTTAACGAAAATGGACGCAACCAATTAAATGTTGAAAAATTTTTTTACAAACTTACCTTATAATACCCGGAGATCACTGAATGAAATGGTAACTAAACATTAAGGTGAAAAAAATTTCACATTTAGAGTGTTCGTTAATTTACATGTGACAATAGTGACTGACAGTCACCTCTCGAGTGCAGAGGGTTAATTAACTATAAGTTAAATTAAATACGAAGCTGTATTTCGCATCGAATTAGCTGAAATATAATTCCTCCTCGTCTACTTTTTTTTGCTTAACTTAGATTCATTATTTGTTTATATATTTTATTGTAAACTTGCTATACTTTTGTTTTGTGTACCTGGCAACTTCGATGCATAATAAGTTTGTTTATGGTCAACATGACTTCGTGCCCGTCTTTGTGCTAAGTCTCTGTTTAAATATATAGTCAAAGAATTGAAGTCGTTGAGAAAGAATCTTTGTGAAGGAATTTTGAATATGTCACTTAAGAGAATTGATACTTGACGGGCTTGGGTTATTCGAAATGAAATTGAAATAACAGTTGCTAACGTAAGAAAATGCCACGTTTCTACAACGGATTAGGAACGAGATACCCTCACTACGTCACATGCAAAATAACTTAAAACTTATTTGCAGTGTGAGCATGCTAACAACAGTCGCTTTGTTTTAGCACATAGATCATATACATAAAATATAAAATTTAATAATAAAACGCCAACATTTTAAGCAACTTCTATGAGTAATAAATATGTATTCATATAATTTCAGAAATAATGCATTTCTTTGATTATTTTTTTTTATTATTTGCAGTGGCAAACTCTTGTTGCGAATGTAGGTGGAAACTTGGGCTTTTTCATGGGCTTGACACTTTTCACATTTGTAGAAATTCTGGAATTTTTGTGGGATATTATTATGACTGTTTTCCGAAGGCGCAATAAATTGACTATAACCGAACTGAATCAAACAAACCGTATCAACAGCTTTTCCAGCAACAGTTTCCAGCAACAGTTTTCCAGCAACAGTGGCATCAATGCTCCGCCGTCATACCGCAGAACGGATTCCAAAAACAAGTCCGTCGAATTCAGTCAAACAAATAAAGTCAGTAGCTTTTCAAGAAACAGTTCCAGTGGTTTCGGTATTCCATCAGCATATCACTGGAATAACTCTCTTCATAACGAAAAATGAAATGGTTCTTAATTTTTACGGTGCTCACTGGCTTATTTGAATTGAACACAACCAAAATTGGTCTAAATTAGGTGAAATAAGTATCCTATGGATGGTTGACAGTGTGAAGCTAAGCGCAGATGGCGCTAGGGTTTGAAATTCGTCACACGACTTCCGATTGATTTTTACGCCCCAGCTTGAAAAAAACGCTTCATCCAATATTATAGTGTTTTTATTGTAATACTTGTAATGTTTTCATTATAAAGCGTTCTTTCAATCTGACTTCCAACGAAACAAACAACAAATAAATTTGATAGATTCTGCAAGCTTGTTATAATGCTACGGAAAAAATAACAGACGGTGCAATTTTACACAAAAAAAAGCCTAATAAGGGATAAAACTCAAAACATGGCTAACCTTACACTTTATTTATGCTGCGTTATTAATTTTGTTAAATTTGTTTTACGGTCACTATCTGTTAGAATTTATAAGTTGCAGAAAATTCTTAAGAATGGTAAAATTACGCCTAAATTTAAACACAAATCACAGTAATAAAACTTCCTGGAATATTATGCCTCTGTTCACAGATCGCCTCGTACGGAGGGATACACCGGAAGTTTTCTAAATTTCTGCCGGATTTAAGAAGCTTGTTATTGTTTACATTCAGTCAACCATCCATCCACTGTAGTTGAGATACCAAATCAGCGATGACTACATCCTTCCTGTGTAAAGAGACTATTGCTGATTTTTGTCAATTTTTAACTAGATTTTTTAGAAACTATTTTAAACTTAGACAATACTTTTAATTTCATACAAGTGTGGAATTTTTAAAATTTATGATTTTAAAAAAAAAATAAATCGAAATTTGATTTTTTTTTCTTGAAGTAATGTTGTTCTGAAGTAATGTTTCTACCTTCCACTGAGTGGTGCGTTTATGAAAGATAAATTTCATTAAATCCGTCTGGTAATTATGGTTTACATTTAAATTCATCTGTTGAAAATTAAGTATTGTGCAATTTTCCTATTTCGTAAAATAGATACTGCCCTTTGAACACTGCCTTTTTCCATTTGTTTTCGTAAAATCCTTGTCAAAAATAAATTTTTAAAATTCTAGAGAGTAGATTTGTTGTAGACAAGTTGTAGAAAACAACAGTTTAAAGCAACTAAAAATGTTGTAACTTTGAGCAAATCGTTGTCCCACCCTTCCTAAGTAAATTTAAAAAATAGAAATAAATTATACATACTTTGTAATTCACACGACAGGTGAAAAGAGACATTAACGAATATAAGGTGACTTTAACAGAGAGTGAATTTTAGATTGACTCTTAGCTTTCCTTATTTTCAATTAAAAAATTCGCATGAGATTTCAACGATGTAAGTCCTAATGACTTCTTTTTTATACTCAGCCATTTTAATATGTATTAAGTGCAGGGATATGAAAATACAGGGTCTATTCTGAATAAATTATTTTAACAAACAAAACTCGACCATATTTTTTATTAAGTCTTATAAAATATATTTATACTGAGCTGGGAATTTGCTATTTGTGTACTAATTGTCAGTATTGTAGTTGTTTAGAAACTTTGTACGTTTAACTGTTTACTTTTCACAGTTACTTGCAAGAGTGTAGCCTAAAGATTTTTAAGTTAACTAGCTCAGTCACAGTAACTAAGTTTTATGAATGTTTACAATCATGCTCGATATTGGAAAATATTCCTTTTCGACAAAGAATAATAATATGCAAAAACCAACTCGCCAAGAAAATTAAAAGGTTACCAAATGCGGAGCCAAGTTTCCATTAAAAAAAACACAATTTCTTTTACACAGCTCTAATAAAACGGTAACACTTTTGTTTACAAAATAAATCGACGTTAATTAGTCAGACAATCTAGAACACACAAAGCTCTGAAAACACACTTGTGTGCTATTTTCATGTTAGAGTGGTTTATGTAAAGCTGTCATCTCATATGCTTTTCGCAAAAGGTTTTTTTCTTCAAGTGGTATCAATTTTCATGCCTTATTATTTCTTCCCCGTTTTTTATTTTTAGTGCTATGAGGGAAATTTAAAATGATTTAAATCCCCACTATTATATCTCCCACATAGTATGTTCAGTGTGCTAAAAAAGCTGACGCATTGATAACTTTTGTTTAATGATGAGACTTTCCCTCACTCAGATACAAATTTAATGGCAGATAAATAATAAATATGCTAATTAATTGGTGCAGACGATTTGAAGTTACAAAATCTGACATAGAATCCTATTTTCTCTGAATCTTTCTTTTGTCGGATTTGGATTCTAGACCCTCAAAATATGGGGGATGGTCGCAATCTTGGAAGTATGGCCCCAATAGTTTGAGCCCTTTAATATTAATTTCATTTATTAATTGTTTAATAAACGATAATTTCAAATATTATTTGTTTTTTTAATTATTTATCACTACTAATGGTTGAGAGATGCACGAGTTTTTGCACCAGTTTAATCTACGTGATTTTTAATGTCAAAATCGAAAACTTTTGAAGGAAATCGGTTTGACAGTTCTTGAGAAATAAAAATTTAAAAATATGACTGCTTTGAGATACTAATATACGCAAGAAATAAAATTAAAATAAAAGAGCCTAAACTTAATCCAACTCTCCTGCTTAAACTATGGGGGCCATATTTTTTAGATCGCGAAATCCAACCATATTGTGATGGTTAAGAATCAAAATCCATCGGGGTAAAAAATTATGCTCACTGAGTGATAAAAAATATTTTCGTGTTTTATTTCTTAACTTAAAATATAGTATATATACATTAATTTATTAGTATATTTATCAGTATATATTAATTTATTAGTATTATAAATATTAATTTATTAGTATTTTTAAGGTTAGGCCTTTAAACCATTATAATTAACTCCTAGTACGTGAAAATCCGATTATTTTTAGTTTAAAAATTTTAAAAGTTTGAACTTTTTCTTATTTTGTTCACTGCACCTATATATGACCTCATAGTAACAAAGTGACATTTTTCATGTTGTTGAAATATTAGGGGGACCGGAAAGTAAGGTCGTTTCGATGCATTTGATATTTGTTAGCAAGATCTTATTTTTAATCAATAATGTATTCACCTTGCTTAGCAACAGCCTTTCAATGCCGGATCGAAAATGAATCGAAAAACAAAATAATTGGTTTTAAAGACTAACGAATATTTAAAGCGCCGAAACGACATTACTACTAAAATAATTTTTACTTTTAACCACTTCTTAAAAAAATAAAAATTCCCCAAAAAGCATAAAAGTTGGCAGTTATACCATATGCAATAATTTGTAAAAAAAAAAATTTCAGTCATTTAGACAAAATAGATTTGATACTTTTAATGATCAGAAATATTTATTAGTGTAATGTTTTGTGTCTCCCAATGTAATTTCAGTTTCTCAGCAAATAAATGGTTACTGTATTGAATGTTTCATTCTTGCTTAAATTCCAAATAAATAGTCGGAAAAAAAGATTATTTTTCTTAGCTTATTTAGACATCAAAATGGTCAAAATTGATCAGTTTTGATCAGGCAAAATATAAATGTCGCTCTTTTCGCAGTTCTCCAAAAAATATATATCATGCTCCAACGTGTCCAGCTTCGTTTCAAGATCCAACTTTCGATTTTTTAACAATTTAGTGTCAATCATTAAAGGTAATGTCAGGTAACGCTTGTTTAGCTCTTCCCAATTATCTCTCAATCCCTGAAATGAAATTGAAGTTATTATTGACCACAATCCCTATCTTGTCCACTATGCATGATCTACTATAAGCAGAAAATAACAAGGATAGATATTTAAAGGTAAGTAATATAAAACAATTCACACACCAGAATATGATCACACAAAGGCAAATGGCCCAGAAAATATGCTGTTTAACTAGAGAACTGATGAAAAGATGTCAGGTTTGTTGAGAACTGATGAAAAGATGTCAGGTTTGTTGACATTTTTGTACATTAAGCTATGCAATTCACGTTATAAATTACAAAATTTTAGAGAAATATGTTAACTTTTAAACCTCACGATTACATGATCATGTAGATTAGATATCAACCTAAGGAATAAAAATGGGTTAGCCATTTAATTTTTAAATCATATTTAAACGACGAGAAAATCTTCTGTTAATCAATCAGCTATCAATTTAATAAGTAAAATTGCTGCTGAAGGGTTACGTAGTCAAATGCAGATTTAAAAATTAATAAAAGGTGTTCCGTAATAGATGCTTTTTATATTTACTCCTGTGTTCCAAATTAATAGAATTTCCCGATGCAGTTGATTATCTTCAGAGCTATTGGAAATATTTTAATGAAATTTTAATTTTGTGAGAACATATATTGATGTAATTCAAATCATATATAATATATAATAACCACTCAACAGTTATAATACACACGTCTGATCGCGTCGCGCATAACTCATATCGGAGTCGAGGTGCATGGAAATGTATAGACACAGAGTTGAATCATAAAAAATTAGTTAATTTAGGTAATAAGTTATTTCTCTCTTTCAGGCATACAGGTCTCAATGAGTTACAGCAGTTAGTAAGAATACTGACACACTGGTTTTACAACATCATTCCATATTGGAAATTAGGCAATGTTTTTGGGCAAATTTTCTCACTCGACCAACATCGTTTTTTTTTAAAGACTCTAAATAGTTTTATAGGGATAGTTTTTCCAGTCGTCATTTCTAGAACTTTTAACAAATGCTCTATAAATTTAAAATATGCAGATCTGGATCTGGTTGGCCGACGGATTGCATCCGACAAGTATTTTCACTTTCCAAAGAATCTTTCCGGATAATCTCTATGTTGTCATCTACTAAAATGAATCAGGTCCAACTGTACCCCCGAGAACAAAACATAGTGCCCCAAAACTTTTCCGCTATGCATCAAATCAGCCAAAGTGCCTCTCTCAAAGACGTGGAGCTTTCAGCAGTCATTCAACAAGAATCCTCCGTCAAACCTTCGATGAAATAATTGTAGATTTCTTGGATGGAGTTCCTCCCTACAGATATAGAGTCTTTTACGTGGAAAGAATGAGGTATCGACTACTTACTCCGAAAAATAGGTCATTATGGCATAAATAGTTGAATGCTCTGGGCAGACTTCAATGGCTCTACAACACTTCATACCTTTCAGATCTGTGGTATAGGAATAATGCATTGAAGTCTTCTGTTCTCTTCTGAGGGTTGCAGTAGGCCTTGATTTAATTTTATGGAACGAAAACGCATGGTGATATGCAACTCATTTAATCGATTTTCTGATGAGTTAAAATATTCACTGGAATGATTGGATAACCAGGTGACCAGATTTTAACTCCATAGGGAATCTCTGATACGCTCTGAGTACAAAAGAGAGTATCAGAATTGTTTCCCCTAGAAAGTACTTAATGCCAGTTTAGAGTGTTGCTGGAATACTAGACGTGTGGCAGCAATCGTCGCTGGGTAAAACTCTCGATTTAAATAATATATCGATTGCATAAAAATATTTTTTAAATCGAGAATTTTATTTATGTTAAAATGAGAGCAATTACCCCCTATTAAACTTATTAGTGAACATTTAGGCACTTTTTAAAAATCTATAAATTATTTAATTTAAATAAATACGAATCATTTTTTTCTTCTTACCTCTAACAAATCAGTTTTTTCTTCGTCAGTTAGTTTGAGCAATTCTTTTTCTGCGAATGAATCCTGACATATTTTGCCTGCGTATTCAAGATCGTCCCTTCTTTGCACGAGATACTTTGGTTGTCTTCCAAATTCCTGTAAGTAAAACAGAAAATTTGAAAGTTTATTCAATCAATTGAATGCATAAAACGAAAATTCTCATGAAACTGAAGAAATTAAGATTCCTCTGATAATAGAGTGGTTTAATAAATTTATTTTTAATAACTCGCATATACGTTGTTCTCTAAAATAGAGTTATTGTTCTACTCAAGCAAATGCTTTATGAAACTACTAACTTAAGAGAGAACGTTTTATGGTGTTTAGGGAGAATTCTTTTCAATCAAGCCAGTTTCACTCAGGAGTAAGAAGATAATCAAAGAATTATGTCTGGCAACGGGCAGAGCTTTCTCAAAATACCATTGAAAGTTCGTTCATTAGCCTAACTCATTTAGGTAAAGTGATCATAATATCTAAGATTAAATAAAGTATTTTCACAATAGCCCGCTGTAGGTCAGGGGTTCATGGAAGTTATGTCTCCACAATTTCATAACCAATGCCGTGATTGTGGCAGTATGGTCAGTACTGCAATTTATTTCAACAGGTTGGTACCCATCGTATTGAAGGTAGGTGGGCTTCAAACCGCCACTGGGGAATCGAATCTCAGTTCCTCAGGCTCTAACTACTGAGCCGTTGAGGTTCAATCTATAAAGTTATCTCTTGTATAATACTTGAATAATCATATCACAATATTCACTATATAATTTACATTATAGGAAGATAATACTAAAGATAGTGATATTCAATTTTAAAAAAATTGTTTAATGTTCAAAACTTATCACTTTTTGGAGAAAAAGAAAGGTTACAATACCTTCTTCATGCAAAATTTTGGTACTAATCCAGAAAATTCAAGAAAAAAAGTATCTCCTTTTCTATTGTCTGCCATCTTTTGGGCAGGCCTGACAGCTGGTTTTCTCAAAGCATCTATTTTGTTGAGCTGAACAAAATCTTTGGCACAATTTTCTCGCAAAACGAGAGGTGCTTCGTGACATTTTGGCACAGGTGGGCGTTTGTGCTCTTTGGGCAAGTGTGGAGAAATACTTCTGTCTAAAAACAAGAGAAAAGAAAATCATGGGCACTTTGATTCACGTATGTATTTAACTAAATCTTATTTTCATTTTACAGGATTTGGGAAGCATGTTTTACTAAGCAAATCTTCATGATTATCTAAATGAAAACAATGCAAAACAATTTTTTTAAAATGATTTCTTTGAATATTATCAGCAAATTCCAGATTCTCTGATTTTTTATAGAAACATGCAAATTTTTATTTCACTGAATAAGGGGTGAACAAAACTCGCCATTTGCATAGAATATTTGTCAAGAATGAAAATAAAATAACGCAGACGTAAAGTTAGATAAATCCTAATTTAAATTGGAAAAAACTTTCATAATCAGATTAATAGATACTGAGGTCAATTCCCGCAGGATTCAAAACATCAAAATAAATTTAACAGTCAAATAAAACTGCAAGGCGTTATAAGATGTTTATTCAAAAGTTGCTCCGTTGAAATTGATATTTTAAAATAGATATAATTTAAATAGAAATAATTTAAAAGGCAGTTTTTTGATTTCGTTGACATTTTCAGGATATATTGCTGTGGATTAAAACTATTGGACACATGTTTTTCTATTTTTGCAGGAAAAAAAAAAAGAATAAATTTTCCAAAGTTTTAAGTTTTTTTCAAGGGGGAACTGAAGATCCTCTGGAATTTTGGGAAAAACACATATATTTGCATATTTAAAATTATGATATAAAATATATGATTTGCTCATAAAAGTAAACTTATGTGTTTTTTTGCACACTGAGAATAAAGTATGGTAGAAACTACCAGAATTCGGTCAAAGTTACCGTGTTTCTGTTTCTATGAGAACTCCATACAGCTTGGTAATTTTAGTGTGAAGTGCTTTGGTGATGATTTTGGCAACATTAACTATAAAATATGGTTTTATAATATATGAGAAAATTTGGTAACTTTATCATGATACCTTTGAGCTTAAGAGAAAAACCATTTAATCTATTAAATTTACTTTTCAATTTAGTATTTTTTACTAAATATGTGGTAATAAGAACTAAAATCTTGAAAACCAGACTTTATGGTAAACCATTTCCATGTGAACGGAAAAATTACCAGATGAATGGTTAGAATACCGTATATTTTGGCTTTTACCAGGAATGTCGGCGATAAAGGAGAAGGCAATATACTCATTTTATTGATAAGACTCGTAGTAATCTTGAAGAATATATTGTTAATTTTAATGATAATTAAAAAATAATTCTTTTACATTATATTTTGAAAAAGATTTAAAAATGAGCGTAGGTGAAAGTAAAAGGCAAAGCTTGCATGATTTATTTATCGGTGTACGTTAGTTCGGGACATATTTGTTGTAATCCTTCTTCATATTTCTGCTTTATTTCATTTGATCAGCATTCCTATATTTTTTTATCCGTTAAAAATATCGATTTATTTGAAAAATACGAAAAAATTTATCAAAGTTCATTCACTAACATTTATTTTTACGAATTCAATTTTTTTCTTCCACGTGTTCTTCTTATAGCAGACAATAAACGGATTATGATTTATATTATTGTTTCATGCCCTTTTGTTTAAAACCTTATCACAAGTTTTTTTTCTTTTTTTTGTTACCCATTTCAGTTTTAGAACTTTTCAGAAATAAGAATTGCTAAATTTCTACATTTTCATAACGGATGGTTAGGATTTTCATAATAGACATTAATCATAGGCTCAGGTTGTCAAACTACCTATAAATACACTGAACTATTTTCGAAAAGTGCGACTTCTAATGAATCAGAATAAATTACGAATATTGATTCGATAATTATTAAGTAAAAGTGTTTTATTCAAATTAAGTATAACGACAAAGTTAGTCAAAGTTAGTGAAAAAGGAACTTTATTTGGTAAAACCATTAGAAAATGATGTAAACAGATTGTTGTAGCTTTGGCAGTGATTAAAAAGTCAGCTTTTCTGCGAGTAAAGTTTCAAATACGTGGTGTTCCATACTTATTGCCCTTAATAAAAATATGCTTAGAATTCAAATAAATAAAATTTAAAAAAATCACTTTAGATCTCGCAAACTGATATTTAGGTGGGAAAAAAACGTTTCCGTACTCTGACTAATCATTATACTGGTCGAGAAAAGCAATGCCGAGATTAAAATAATCAAAAACAGTTGATTTGTCCAATGAGGTTCGGGTGCGTTTTAGGTAGCTATACGAGGCCTGTCTAAAAAGTATCCGACCTTTGGCCAGAAAAAATATTTCGAATACCTGACGGAGTTGGGACCCTAATCCCCTTCAAAGTAGGCCCCTTGTGCTTGCACACACTTAGCCCACCGATCGTTCCACTGCTGGAAACACTACTGGAAGTCTTTGTTTGGAATGGTGTTCAGCTCCGTCATCGCGTTCCACATTATCTCTTCTCTACTCTCAAAACGGGATCCTTTCAGTGGCGTCTTCAATTTTGGAAACAACCAGAAGTCGCAAGGAGCCAGGTATGGAGAGTAGGGAGGTTGGCGAACGGTTGTAATTCCATGTTTGATTAAGAAAGTGTGGATCAATTGGGATGAATGTGCAGCGCTGTCATGATGCGTTGTTCGCCGTCCACATGTCTGGTCGAACTGCGTCACGGATTGTCTTTTTGTTTCTGCGTCGTACCGGTACACCCATGACTCATCTCCAGTTATCACGGTGTTCAGAAACCCAGGATCAGTGTTGGCGGTTTCCAAAAGATCTTGTGCAACGTCAAAACGGAGGTCTTTTTGTTCCGACGACAACAACTTGGGTACGAATTTCGCGGCCACTCGGTTCATTTTCAAATCTTCACACAAAATTGCATGTGCAGAATCTTTACTCACTCCAACTTCTTCTGCAATCACCCTTACTGTCAAAAGACGATCTGCCAACACCAAATTTCGCAACCTCTCAACATTAGCTGCACTCCGAGCAGTTTGGGACCTGCCACAACGCTGCTCACTGATGTGCGGTCATCCTTGAATCGGTTGAACCACTCCTTAATTTGTGTTACACCCATCGCTTCTTCTCCGAACACCTGCTGAATCTTACGAATTGTTCGGCCAAGCTTTTGACAGAATTTGATGCAGTATCTTTGCTCAATTCGTTCAGTCATCTTGCGAGAAAACTAAATCCGACGAACACTACGAACAGCATCTTACTTGGCGACCACCAGCCAGCGACTTGCACAAGCGAACGCGGTGAAAAAATTCAAACATGTCCATTAAGGTTCCTCCTTCCACTATGGCGCTGCCTTGGAATCACTACTTTGCGCGGTAAAAATTAAGGTCGGATACTTTTTAGACAGGCCTCGTAAGCATCAACCTCAAATGTACTGCTTTTTTTAAATTATTATTTTCAGGCATATATTTCTTTCATTGAGCACAATAGTGATTGTTTGGTGTTTGAAAATGCTTGTTCTTTCTCACCTAAATATCAATTGGCGCCCCTTAAGTATGTGCATAGTATTTTACTCTTATTATTTCTAAGAACTCAAATCATATGTAATAAGGGTGGTTATTACGTACAGAGGCGTATCTATGGAAAGAAGTGCCTATGGCAAATCTCTTACTGGTGCCCTTTCTAAAATATTGATATTCTCTTTTATTTTTCTTCCTTTTTTTATCCAATACAAAATAAAAGCATTGTTAGAAGTATTTAACTCTTTTGACAATATTGCAAAAAGACTGCATTCAATTTAAAAAAAAAAAAATTCATAAGCATATAAACATAAAAATAACAATAAAATCATCTCTTTTTAATTTACGTGTATTCGAAATCCTCATTGGTAAGTAATAAAGTACCTTTTTTTGTCATTTTTACAGAAGGTTGTATTGCGTTTTCTCAATAGTCAATAAAAATTCTAACGAGCTGTTTAATTAAGCACAAATATATTTTAAATTTTTAGAAATATAATTTGGTAACAAAAATAAGCACACACAACAAATGTAGCCTAATAAGACAAAAGTAANATTTGTCAAGAATGAAAATAAAATAACGCAGACGTAAAGTTAGATAAATCCTAATTTAAATTGGAAAAAACTTTCATAATCAGATTAATAGATACTGAGGTCAATTCCCGCAGGATTCAAAACATCAAAATAAATTTAACAGTCAAATAAAACTGCAAGGCGTTATAAGATGTTTATTCAAAAGTTGCTCCGTTGAAATTGATATTTTAAAATAGAGTTTTCTTCTGAATTTAAAAGGCTGTTTCTTGATTTCGTTGATATTTTCAGGATATGTTGCTGTGGATTAAAACTATTGGACACATGTTTTTCTATTTTTGCAAGAAAAAAAAAAGAATAAATTTTCCAAAGTTTTAAGTTTTTTTCAAGGGAGAACTTAAGGGATCCTCTGGAATTTTGGGAAAAACACATCTATTTACATATTTAAAATTATGATACAAAATATATGATTTGTTTATAAAAGTAAACTTATGTGTTTTTTTGCACACTGAGAATCAAGTATGGTAGAAACTACCAGAATTCGGTCAAAGTTACCGTGTTTCTGGTTCTATGAGAGTTCCATAAAGTTTGGTAATTTTTGTGTGAAGTGCTTTGGTGATGATTTTGGCAACATTAACAATAAATATGGTTTTATAATATATGAGAAAATTTGGTAACTTTATCGTGATACCTTTGAGCTTAAGAGAAAAACCATTTAATCTGTTAAATTTACTTTTCAATTTAGTGTTTTTTACTAAATATGTGGTAATAAGAACTATAATTTTGAAAACAAGACTTCCATAACCATTTCCATATGGTAAACCACTTCCATATGGACAGAAAAATTACCTATTGTATGGTTTGAATACCGTATATTTTGGCTTTTATCACCAGAAATAGGGTTCTTTTTACATTATCATGCAGTGAGGCAATTTTAGCTCAATTATTTTTTCTATGCACTAACCTACCTAAAACTCTTATAACTTTCAAACTGTTAGTGAACTGAGGTGTTCCTGTACATTTGTTAAAAAAATACAATGGAATCAATACCTCACTTGCCTGGATAGCACGGTCAGACGCATCAATCCGTTTGATCCAGAATTTACTCTGTTTCTATATAAAATTTCAATAACTTTTTTTCAATGTCAATAATTCTTTCAGTTTCATAATTCATTTTAATGCCTAGCATGTTTTTTTCAAAATAAGTCCTGTATTTATGAATTATAAATAAACATTTGCTTCCACATGTGCGTCTTCTTGTAGCAGACAATAAACGGATTATGATTTATATTATTGTTTCATGCCCTTTTGCTTAAAACCTTATCACAAGTTTTTTTTCTCCTTTTTTTTGTTACCCATTTCAGTTTTAGAGCTCTTCAGAAATAAGAACTATTAAATTTCCACATTTTTATAACGGATGGTTAGGATTTTTATAATAGACATTAATCATAGCTCAGGTTGTCAAACTACCTATAAATACACTGAACTATTTTCGAAAAGTCTGACTTCTAATGAATCAGAATAAATTACGAATATTGATTCGATAATTATTAAGTAAAAGTGTTTTATTCAAATTAAGTATATTCAACTTAAAACGACAAAGTTAGTGATAAAAAAAAACGTTATTTGGTAAAACCATTAAAAAATGATGTAAACAAGTTGTTGTAGCTTCGGTATTGATTAAAAGTCAGCTTTTCTGCGAGTAAAGTTTCAAATAAATGGTGTTCCATATTTATTGCCCTTAATATAAATATGCTTAGAATTCAAATAAATAAAATTTAAAAAAATCACATTAGATCTCGCAAACTGATGTTTAGGTGAAGAAAAAAAAACGTTTCATTACTCTGACTAATCATTATACAGGTCGAGAAAAGCAATGCCGAGATTAAAATAATCTAAAACAGTTGATTTGTCCAATGAGGTTAGGGTGCGTTTTAGGTAGCTATAAGCATCAACCTCAAACGAACTGCTTTTTTTTTTTAAATTATTATTTTCAGGCATATATTTCTTTCATTGAGCACAATAGTGATTGTTTGGAGTTTGAAAACGCTTGTTCTTTCTCACTTAAATATCAATTGGCGACCCTTAAGTATGTGCATAGTATTTTACTCTTATTATTTCCAAGAACTCAAATCATATGTAATAAGGGTGGTTATTACTTAGCACCCTGCATATGCCTTTTCGTATCTTACCAGTAGCCAAGATTTGTTCTCGAGTGTGCTTCTTTAAGTAGTCCTCTGGGTATACTTTAGTTTTCATGAAACCCATTGTTTGATGAGGTTTCTTTTTGGAAGCATAAAATTGTTTCGTGGAAGAACTGTGCTTTGACTGATATCTGAAAAACAACACAAAAGTGTGACTTTTACTGTGATAAGTTTGTGCTTTCAAAATTCTTCTTTGAAAGCACAGCTAGAAGAGGACGCTATACCACGGGAGAAACCCTTCACCGCAAATTCTCTTTCTCTTAGATAAGTGAAGAGAGATCTATACTTTTCAAAAAGTCAGTTCAGGTAAACTATGTAAACTTTTTATTTTATTTTTTATAACCGTTGTTGAACAGCCGACCCAATTTTTGGGTTTACGACTACTAATATTCAACTCCGTAGCCTTGTAATTTTGAACCCAATCCAGAAGACAAGGGAACTCCTGAATCAAGTATTGAGATTGAGAGAAATTTGCCTTCGTGGAGGACTTTTTGATGGTGCTAACCCGCATTTGTGTTACATAGAGAGGAAGACCACGAGAACCACCCACGGTTAGCCCGACGGCAAGGGAACTCTAACCCATGATCCGTCTACCAATGAGGATATTTCACGTCAGCACTGTGGTCGGTGGGATGCGGAATTCGCATCGACCAGCCATTGCCGGGATCGAACCCCGGTTCACCTCATTGGAAGGCTAACGCTCTATCCCCTGAGCCATCGCGGCTCTATGTAAACTATGTACCTTTTGTAAATTTCAAATCCTGAAAAAAATTTTTTTGAAAAGAAATATCACAATGTAAACAAATTTTGAGAGGATTACGCTATGGAGAAGTTTTCCTCCAATAATTTCTTTGTCTTTTGATATTTTTAAGACATTCCTTCAACATTTGAAACATCTTGGCTTATTCTAGTCTTGCTTAAACGCACTTTTCTCTAAACTTTACATTTCAATATACCAATATTTCAATATACGAAATAGAATTCGGGATGAAAAATTTCTTTCGTGGGCCTCTTAAATATGGAAGAATTGAACGATAGATGTTCAGTGATGGATTTTTTCATTGATGGAAATGTGATTAGAACAGATATGATGTGATCAGAAACTATCATACAGATTGATGGGGCCATCAAATCTGCCCAACATCCCAAGTTAGGAATTGGAACCCTTACATGTTGGACCAACATAGCATACCCAGCATAGTATGATGGATTTTTATAATGGGTCAGCAAAAAAAAAATTTCATCATGATCCAACATAATTTACTGGTTACCACTATAATTTTCCATCACAAAAAAACATGCTTTTTGTTAAGACCATCAAGACTACCCAACACTACGTTAATGAAATTCACCCATCTTCATGTTGCGTAAATCACATACATTCTAGGTACTTTATTTCTTGAAAATGGTTTGAAAGCTTATATTTTTAAAAAATAATTTAAGAGCTACTACAGTCAAAAAATTCTTATTATTATGAAATGCCCTAAAATAATGATAAATAAACCTAACTACTGGTGATAATTTTTTAAAAAAGCGTTAATTTTTCTTAAAAAATTAAGGCGTTTTTTTTTAAAGAAAAAAACAATTAAAAAAGTAATTAAATTTTTTTTTATACCTCAGCTCCTAAAATTTCTTTTAGGCCTAAGACGAATGACCCTTCTTTAGGCTGGCTCTGTAGAGTAATTTTTATTTGTAAGGTAACATAACAATTTTGAATTATGCATTCCTTATGCAAAACTTGAGAATAAATTGATTATTTTATTCCGAAGTAGAGAAAACTGAGATATAAAACATGTTTATTAAACGCCATGAACATGTAATACAAAGCGAAGTGTTTCGAAACGTTTAGCAGAAAGATTATATAAAAATTCCAACAAGCCAAACGTCGTTTTTTTCTTCTTCTTTTTCTTTTTTTTCTTTCCGAAAGCACGTAGCTTTGTATTCTCTGTTCTTGGTGTGTTTTAAAACGTAGCCATTTAAAATTAATCTATTTTATGTGAAGATTTTAGTGATAAAAAACAACAACATATTAATTATAATTTTAGCCTCGGTATTATGTAAAATAATAATTGCATGACATCATGATTTCTTTAATAAACAGCTTGAAATATTAAGTAACTTCTGAATACGTTTGATATCATTACAAAATATTAAAAAAAATTCATAGAAACATAAATAGGAATAGAAATTATTATGAAAACATAAAAAGAAAATATGATACCTTGGAGAACGCTTTTTTGATACCGGGGAAGAAATTATTAAATTGCATATATTTTCTTGAGGAACTTGAGTTTCTTTAAACCTTTTTGTTATAGCAATCCTTTGATATGTCGTCATTTTTCGGTTAAAATATTGAAAAATTACATAAATACAATGGTATTGAGACCAAAAATAAAGCTATTTTTTCAGCAATTAAACAACATTCTTTTTATTTACATTTTTAGTTTCGGTTACCATGGAAACACAAGTCGTGACGTGAATGAATTTCTTCGCACCGCCTAGGAAATCCCTCTAGAGGGAAAAATTATTGAATGGAAATCACCGAATGAACAACAATATATTACGATTGTTATTAATGAATTGGCACATTACAAGTTTGATCTAGATAAATATTTAAAACGTTGAACGATTTCGGGGAGATTCGTTCTCCTAGGTTCGTTCGCTTATTTGGGAGGATTTCTGAACATCCGTTCTAAACACAAAGAAATATATGAAGAGTTTCCATTCAAATATTAGAGTCCTAAACTACAAATACTTATGGACGATCCACTTTGACGTCCTCGCGACGCTTTTTTTGAAGTTTCTTCGGGCCGTGCTGTCCCTGCGCCCTCTAGCGACATTTGTAGGAAACGGTTAGTAGATATAATAGATTTATGTAGTTCACATTCTACGGTTGTAGTTTAATACTGCTCTCATATTTTTTTTAAATTTCTGAATGATTATATTATTCAACCACGATAAGTTGACGGACTGCTGGAAAACTAAGCAGAAAAGGGAAAGTTAAAGCGCATGAAACATCAGCGTATTTCTTTTGACAAGTATTCCAAACTAGATACTATTTTGATTCCTTGGTCTACTGGTCTCTCTCTGGACTGATCGTTAAGACACGGTTCCCAGCAGATCACCGAGGTCAAGCATCACTGGCTGCTGTCAGTGTGCGGGTGGGTAACCACTTGGATTATTCTGCGTAGGAACCGAGGGTGTGCGGTATTGGTCCTCGTTAAACTGTTCCACCGTAANAAATAATTTTTGCCTAAAAAGAATTATATATATATATATATATATAATTTGTTCAAGCAATTTTATGTGTCTGGTATAAAGTTTCAAATTATGACATATGTCTTAGGTATCTTTTCTGGTATAAATGATTTTTTTATGATTGAATAAAAATTTATTGAACTACACTAAATCATAATTTAATAGGTTTTTAATGGTATATAAAAAAATACTAATAAAAGCATTTCTCCAAGGATTTGGAAGCTAAACAAAAGAAACGAATAAATTTTCATATGGCACATTTTGCCTTTATTTTCAAAATTTTTATCGTGTTCGGATAAAGCGATCCAAAAATTCAAATTTATTTAAGCTTATCAATAGGAAGTGATTTTTTTTAGGTGGAATTATTCAATCGTTCTCTTTCTTACAAGTTTCAAAAGGAAATGGTTAGGTTAGTCATATTATAAAAATCATTTTAATATTACGATTATTTTTACATACTTTTAAAATATTGTAAAAGAGTTTGTACCTTGCAGTTCAAAATTTTTTCGACAATTATTAAATAAAATGATAAATATTTTCTAAAAGTTGCATTTAATTTACGTGGAATTATTTTTAGATAAACGAATTTTATAATTGTGCTCGCATTTTTTTCAATGCGCTTGAAAATTTCTCGAGATATGGCGACGCCAAAAGCAAAATTAACATTAAGGGGTCCAAATCTTGAACAGGCTCTCTTGACCAAACTATCCATATTTCCTAGATTGCGGCTACTCCTTATATTTTGGGGGCCATAAATCAGAATCAGTCGAAAAAAGGGTATGATTATTCAGAGGCAGTACATTAATGGGTCTAATTTCGTAACAGAAAATATTGTCTGAACTAATTAGTTAGCATATTTGAGCCCCCCCCCCCTTTAGCGATTAAGATTAAGTCTTAGAACATGAAAATCCTATTAATAGATTAAAAGGTATTGAGTGAGATCCGTTTATTTTCTTGCGCACTATACATTGAAGTTTGTATCGCTAAGTATTTGGCTGTATTGTTTGTCAATACTTGTAAGGTATAGAAATTCCTGATTAAAAATAAACAGACCATAATTTCTGTAACTAATCCAAAATATACAGTTTTTAAACCACCCATTTGGTAATTTACCGAAAATTCTGGTTTTCAAAATCATGGTTTCTTATTACCATTCATTTAGTAACAAATTCAAAACTGAAAAATAAATTTTACCAAAGATACCATATTTTTATATGTCATGCTCTAAAGTTTTCACAATAAAATTACTCAAATGTTCTTCAGAACTGTCATTCATTTTACCGTTTATTTGGTCATTTTAACCATTTAATGTCTTTTACCAAATAATAGATTGTTTACACTTTTGTGCTTCATTTAAAATGGCGGTTAATAAAGGGTCATGAATGATGGCTCCAAATTTTTACTAAAAGTGTTTTAAAGGTTACCGAAATTAGATATATCAAATTATTGTGATTGTTTTATCCATCTTTTATGAGGTTGGAGGGATTTATTTGCATACACATGCTGGCTTTTTTTGTAAACACAAATAGCGACGTAAAAACTGAAAATTTAAACATAAAAATAACACAATATGTTTATTCTTATTCACTCAAAGGTCATTTCAATTTCAAAAAGTTTACATTCATTTAAATTTAATAATATAGCATTTTGTCTTAAAACATTAATTATTATTATTGTGTCGCAATGTACTAGATAGCATTGCACGCAAACTACATTTACTTCATAGACAAACTGTAACCCATCGATCAGGAGGGCCTCAACCCGCTACTGGGGATCAAACCCCAATTCTTCACAACTGTTTAGTGCCTTACTCACTGATTAATAGTCACTCATTTACTGGAATAATTATGTATAAAATCGATAAATCAGTAATGCATTGTTGGACTATAGCATATAGTGAAAATATCAGCGAAAAAATAATTTTGTTTTATCAGAACAAATGAATTAAACAGCGATTGATGGTTCGGTCAAAATAAAAATTTTAGTGGTCAAATTTTAAGGATTAAAGAAGAAACTGCTACAAATTCATAGCTAGAGCCGCGATGGCTCAGGGATAGAGCTTTCGCCTTCCAATGCGGCGAACCGGGTTTGAATCCCAGTTGATACGAATTCCGCATCAGGCTTGCACCGACCTCAGTTTTCTGACGTGAAATATCCTCAGTGGTAAACGGATCATGGGTTAGGATCCCTTTGCCGTCAGGCTAACCGTGGGAGGTTCTCGTGGTCTTCCTCTCCATGTAACGCAAATGCGGGTTAGCTCCATCAAAAAGTCCTCCACGAAGGCAAATTTCTCCTAATTCTCGATCCAGGAGTTCCCTTGTCTTCTGGATTGGGTTTAAAATTACAAGGCTGCGGAGTTGAACATTAGTAGTCGTAAGCCCATAAAATTGGATCGGCTGTTCAACGACAGTAAGAAAATAACTAAAATGAGGAATAAAATTGTTTCATTTTTTTTTCTGTATAAAATACCTTTGAAATTTAGCTTTGTATTTGAAAATTTAAATTCAATTAACAGAAACAGCTCATCTTGCTCCTTTTTTTTACCTGTATGTATGTATAAGAAGAAATTCCTGCCTTGCAAAAATAGGTTAAAATTATAGGTTCCCAACGTGGGCGCTATTGTGCCTCACTAGGAGGTAAGGGCTTCTTTGAAGAGAGGGGTACTGGTAAGATTATTGAGAAAATATGCACTGGTGTGCAAAACTTAAGCAGCAAGTGCGTTTTTTGTCATAACTCTACAAGAAATCATCCGATTGACATGAAATTTGAATATGATGTACATTATTTTGTACTTAAACGATGATAAAAGAATAATGTCTCAGAAATGAATATAAAGCTTAAAGTAGGGTATGGAACAAAAAAAGGCTTCATTTGACATATAGTGGCGTTACACATGATTGCCTGAAGAAGCGTAAGTACAACTGGCAGATGTTCCCTAGTATGGGATATGCCCTCCCCTTACTGTAATTATTGCTTGGCATCGTCTCTCCATGCTAAGCACCAGATTATCCAGGAGTTCTTGGGGTAAACGTCTCCATTCCTCCTTTGACGCATCTTTCAGCTGATGGGTGTTACCAGGAGGATACTGTCGTGTCGCAAGACGTCTCCCTAATGCATCCCACATGTGCTCTATGGGATTTAGATCTGGAGAGTAAGCTGGCCAATCCATTCGTGTGATATCTTCACTTTCCAATAGCTCTTGAACATTAGCAGTACGGTGTGGCCTAGCATTGTCATCCATAAAAATGAAGTTTGGTTCAATGGCCCCTCGGAACAGACGCACATGGGGTAGGATTACCTCATTGCAGTAGCGGTCTCCAGTTACAGAACCTCGGTCGAAGATCTGAAGCTCAGTCCGCCCGTTCAACATAATGCCACCCCAGGCGACAACTCCAGGACCACCGTAACGATCTCTTTCCTCGATGTTATTGGGATGAAATCGAGCTCCAACCTCTCTCCAGATCAAATGACGTTGAGAATCGCTTGTAGCACTAAAACGACTCTCATCTGTGAAGAGGACGCGACTCCATTGATGAGGTGGCCAGGTTTCGTGTTCTCTGCACCACTCTAAACGGTGCGCTGATGGCTAACTTTTAAAGGTATGCAGCGTTCAGGACGTCTAGCAAATAAGCCACCTTTGTGGAGGCGTCTGGCCACTGTAAATCTGGATACTTGTCGTCCTGTGGCTGTGCACAGTTGCTCAGATATGGCGCTCGCTGACTGAAAACGGTTTCTTTTCGCTTGGAGGACAGTGTAACGGTCATCTCTTGGTGTTGTTTTCCTTGGACGGCCAACACCAACTTTCCGAACAGCTGTACTAGTAGTTTTAAAGGCATTCCAAGCACGAGAAACAACACTTTTGTTGATCCGGAACTCTTCGGCGACACTGGTCACACCACGCCCCTCCTCAAGCTTCCCATTCATTCTTCCTCGAGTAAAGTCGTCTAAATGATTTCTTGAAGACATGTTTCACAAAACAAATCACTTGCACTTGCAGCGAATGTCTTTAACTACGGTGCTCTTCATCCTTTTATCACAGCTTTGAGCCACAAGGTTTACGTACACTTACATCACCTACGACGTTTTATTTCTAAAATTTGTATACAAATAATCTTTCTACTGAATTACGTGCATATTATACTGCAATTTCATGGCTATCTTATACTTCGTTGGGGAGCTGTGGCCGAAAAACCACTTGTTGCTTAAGCTTTGCACACCAGTGTAAGTATTGAGTCCAACTGATATTCAGAATTTTTTGGTTTTGGTATCGAAGAACTACTATTTACATTTCTAATTAAGCTTATGATATTTGTTATAAAAGCAGTTATGTATTAAAATTGTTAGTTTTTTTTATTAAAAAAAACCCTTTTTAGTGTTAGTTTTGCAAGAAAAAACTGTAATTATCACTCAACGATTTTAGTGTTGATTCCTCGTATAAATTTGTCTTCACTTTCTCTTACTTTCAACTCATTTTATATTGATTTTAAGAACATGTTTTTAAGTAAATTTAAATGTCTAATTTATTACTTTTCTCCCTTGTTTAATAATTTAAATGGATATAATGAAAAGGTTGTTAACTTCGGCTGATAGTTAACTGAAAATATAATTCTCTGATTTGATTTTAAACTATATTTCACTCAGTATTAGCAGCGCTATAAAACTAAGGCGATGGATTGCAGTTCGACTTAGCTTACACTCATAAACAAAAACGACGTAACACATTTCATATTTTCTTTCGAATGCAATAGAAAAATATTTAATTACGTAGTATTTAATTTAAACTGAAAAGTTATATGTTGGATTTATTTTTATGCTTATACATAAAAATTTTACGTGTTGTAAACTTTTTATCAGAATTAGTATTTTGAAGGTATGGTTCTAGAAAGGTGTCATAACTAAAATATTAAAAAGCTTGAAATGGGACAAAAAATATTGATCATTAATTTTAAATTACTACCGTTTTTTTTCTTCTTGTAGATGGAAAATATTTTGACTTACGAAGTGGGCGATAAACCCAAACGGGTTGGAAAACTTTGGTATAAATAAACGGTAGAAAAACGCTTATAACTTTTATTGAGTCACGTTGGTTGGCTCAGAAGACTGAGCTTTCACCTCAGGTGACCCAGGTTCAGACCCCAGCAGTGGCCAGTTGATATGAATTCTGCTGCCGGCTCACACCGACCGCAGTACTAACGTAAAGTATCCTCAGTGATAGACGGATCATAAGTTAGAATTCATTTGTAGTCGGAGATTTTCTTGGTTTTCCTCACCATGTAATGCAAGTAAGGGTTAGCTCCATCAAAAAGTCCTTAATGAAGGCTTATTTATTCCAACGCTTGATCTAGGAGTTGAACATTCATAGCCGCAGTTCCCAACAGATCACTGAGGTCAAGTGCCGGTCGGTGTGCGGGTCATTTTGCAAAAAAATGTTTATGGACCTCTGGAGGGTTCCTCCTCCGCATAGTTGGTATTTCAGAAAACGACCTGGAAGTGCCTTGCTTTTAGAGGGACCTAGAAGCAAGCAGACTTGTTTATCTCGCTCTGCAAGTGGTCACTTGAGGTGTCTCTCGTATATACTTTTGCCCCTGAACATATGTTCAGGGGCAAAAGACTTTTGGATTTTACACTAAATGTAGGACTGCTCAGGCTTCGCCCGAGCATATTCTAAACTGTATCGATTTTAAGATCGACGAGGTTTTTTCAAAACCTCATCCGTTTTTAGACTTCCTGGACATTTTTGGACTTATGGAATTGGTCTAATTAGGATGGACCTCTTGGGGATTAGAAACAACAACAGTGTGCGGGTGGGTAACCACTTGGATTATTCTGCGTAGGGACCGAGGGTGTGCGGTATTGGTCCTCGTTAAACTGTTCTACCGTAAAGTGCTCGACTTCGCGTGCAGGTCGTCGAGCTACCGAAGCGGGGGTGCCATCCCCTCTGCAGAGGATCAAAATTTATGATGGCAAGTCTCCGGATCACTCTCAGGGATGTTTTTCAGACAGTCGCCAATAGCCCATTGTGTAGCTCTAGTGTGACGCAAATGAACTACAACTACAACTTGATAGTAATAAACTGAGAAGTGGGTCAGCTGTTCAACGTCGGTCATAAAATAAAATAACTTCTCTTGCTATTTCAGGTTCAAATGAAAATTTTGACTCAAGAAGCCAAATGCGTAATATAGGGGTTGAAATTCTTTGTTGAATTTTTTACTACAGATTTTTTATACACATCAAAGATTTATTATAGATACAAATACCTTTATTCTTATTCTTTAAAAAAAATCTGAGTAAAATTATAATTCCTGATTGTCTCTCTAATGTGGACTCACTCAAATCATACATTTTCAGAGCATTTTAATTGTATATATCCCTAGTTAAAGTCGAACATTACACAGTTGAAGCCCGGAAAAAAGAAGGATTTTTTTAATGAATTTTGCAACGATTGGGATTAACTTAACGGGATGGCATAACGTGACATAATGGGATCAACATAACATTAATTAACATAGGATTACCTTTTTTTAAAATCTTATTGTGCAAATTTTAATCTTCGTTTTATAATGCTACAAATACAAAAATTAAAAATATATTTATATATAGCTTATATAAGACAATGTTTATGACTTAATTTTAAAATTATACATAACTTTCTGTACACATCCTGTGAGTTGAAAAACAATCATTTAAATTTGATGATTAGATTTGGATAATCAAATTTGGATGATTACATTTGGATGAACTGCATTCATAAAAAAAATAAATAAATAATGGACTAACCCTGAATAACTTTTGATCTAATGATCGGATCGTTACGTTCTATGACTCAATCTTAATGGTTTGAGGGGATTATCTCAAATACTCAAATGTGCTAATTAATTAGTGCAGACGATATTTTAAGTTACGAAATCAGACACAAAAACGTACTTTTTCTGAAAACACATTTTTTAAAAAATCGCATTCGGAATTATTCGAAATATAGAAGGTAGTCGCAATGTGGGAAATATGATCCCCAAGGTTTGCTCAGGAGTGCGATCCAAAGTTTGGGCCCCGTTAATTTTACTTGTGGAGTATTTCGCCATATCTCGAGAACTTTTTTGTCGAATTGAGAAATCTTTGCACACAGTTACAAAATTCGTTTGATACCAGAGATACTTCAGAGCAAAAATTAAATTTTATTAAATATTTATTATTTTTTTTATTATTCTTTTTAATAATAGTCGAAACATTGTTGAATTGTAAGGTGTAAAAATTTTTACAGCATTTTAAAGTATGTAATTTTACGTACAAAAATACAAAATTTGAACTAAATCGGTCGAATAGATAGAAAAAAACTTTTAAGTTACTTTAGTAACTAGTAACTTAGTAACTTAGTAACTAGTAGTAACTTAGTAACTAGTAACTTTAGTAACTAGAGCTCAAAATTGCAATAAACATAATTTCTTATAGAAAATATCGTGCTAATTTTAGAATTTTTTTTTGACATTTAATTACGAAAGGTTCTGGGTTTGAGTCCCGGAGAAGACATGAATGCTCTTTTATTCTGTGTACTATCTGCCCTTACTGACCAACAAATCTGCCCTAATACGCTGAATTGACGAATGTCAACCCAGGTGGGCAATGGTTTAAAAAAAAAGAAAAAAACATTTAAATATTAAAAATTTTATGTTAGTAAAATATCGTAGTACATTTCCCATACAAATGATATGAGGAGGAGAGGGAAGGAGGAGGGTTAAGACATGGAACTGGCCTTCTCCCAGATAGCGTAAGCGAGGATGATGCAGTTTCTTCAAACTTCATAAGTAAATTCTGAGGGGAAAAAAGATTTCGTTTTTTTCCAGCTTTTTTGTTTCTGTTGGTATCTTTGTTTTGCTTTTTTAATTAGTCTTTTTCATCTTATTATTTTTTTTAAATTTAATTTTTGTAGCAAAAATACAAAATATTAAAGTAAAAATCAGAATTTTTTTAAATTGAATTTAAATTTAAAAAAAAAATCAAATAATATCGCAGAACCTTTAGAAGACCTTTACGGAACCCAGGAATTATGGTATTAGTAGTCAGTTCTCAAAATTGCAATAGATGGCGGCACTGAGCAAAACCGCGAAACTCAATGTTCTGTGAACGAAAGTGATTCTGTCTTTCCTCTCCTTCCCTGTGTTTCTCTGTGATGTAAACAGTAAATGAAAACAGAGAGGCTCAGTTTCACCGACTTATACTTTCCTCAAGGACGCGTTCCATTGTATCATTAATGAAAGGTAATTTTTATTCTTTTGTGTGCTTACTTTTGATAAAGTGCATAGTTTTATATGTTTAGTCTTGTCTGTATAAATTTATGAAATATCTGCATGAGCATATCATTGTTTTCTTTCTTAAGCTTGAAACCGGTGTATTCTTCTTTAATTCTTAGAATTCTCTCATCATTTCGACATCGATAAGAGTTTTTGCTTTTTAATCCCCCCGCTTTGATGATGTTCTCTTTTATCAGTATCTAATGTTTACATATTAAATTATTATTTTTTTTTTAGTGATGAAAACTCATTTGTTTATTCCCTCATCATCCTCTAAAAATGTCAGGAGAGGAAAGTGAAAAGTTAAATTTTAAATTACCGCAATCCATTACAATTAAAGGAAAAGAAATAGTTTTTCAAAAAGCAAAATGGTACCTTTTCTATGCAGTTGTAGCAGTTTCATTGGTAGCTTTGTTTTGCATTATTTTGTATGTAGAAGTATATATTAACAGCTTTTACGTGAGAGTAGATTGCAATCCTGATATGCCATTGAACTATGAAAAATGTTTAGATCGTGGGTAAGATATGCATCTTAATATTTTATATATATATATATATATATATACATTAGCATAGGAGTTAAACCTTGTTAACTCGAACCTAAAATTTCCTTTACAATTAATGTAAAAAAATCTTGTTCTGTCAAATATTTTTTCTCTTCCCTCCATTATTTGAAATTTTTTACTTGAATATAATAAAAATATTTTTAAAACAATATTTCTAGAAAAGAGAAACTTTTTAAAAATCAGAAAAGCTGTTCAAAAATTTGCCCAGAAAGGAAGTTTTCCAAATCCTGATTTGCAACAGAATAATTTCTAAATCTTTGCAACTTCTGTGGAGTGGTCTGAGAAAAACTAAAAACAAAGCTTTACAGAAAGGAGACTAACTCGAAGAGTATAACTCGTAACCACCCCCCAGGCAAGCCATTATAATGAAAACTAAACTTTTATTGACAAAAGTTAGAAATTCTGTTAATTATTTTATTACTTCTTTTCAGTTAATTTAAATTATACCTATTAATATTAAAATGATAAATAAACTAAAACAGCATGAAATGTGGCAAATTACAGTAGAGAGAGAGTTGTAATAAACATCAAAATAGGTTTAATTGGAGGTTAGAGCTTGAATGTTTTTCTAAAAATCGACCTTTTATTCCTCTCTCTTTCTTCCTGTAATAAAACATGTTTTATTGTTTATTCCATCTATCTTCCTATAATATGATCTGTTATATTTTGATAGCATTATTGTTAGGTCTTTCATAAAAACCACCCTTAATATATAGTTTTAGAATTTTTATCAAAAATTGAAAAGTATGAACATTAAAGGTCTTAAAATAATGTTTCAACCAGTATAATTTTATACTGGTATGGTTATGGGTAGTTAAGACCTTTACCATATATTTAATTTCACAACCTAAGCTTGTTTAAATAATTTTTTAAAAATATCCAAATCTTGACTAGAGTACTCATTCTAAATAAAGTATGATTACAAGTTTCAAAAATCCGTACTGGGTGGGGAAAAAAACATTATTTTAAGACCCCTAATGTTCATTTTAACTTTTTCATTTTTGATAAAAATTCTAACATTATATTTTAAGGATGGTCTTTATGAAACACCCTTACCATATATTAAATTTCACAATCTAACTTTGTTTAAATAATTTTATAAAAATATCCAAAACATTACATCTTAATTATTTAACTAGAGTACTTATTCTATATAAAGTATAATTACAAGTTTCAAAAATCGATACTGGATGGGGGGAAAAAAGTACTAGCTCTAAGAATCTCTTCGATTATTTCTTTTTTAATCATAATGTACTATTATTTTAATTGCCTGTTGTTGCATTAGTTGGATAAGTTTATTTTGTTTTTTAAACCACCTGAATTATAACTTAATTAAACCGTAGCTAAATGTCTGCTGTGTTGATGAGTGTTTGCAATTTATTTTTTAACTCTTTCATTTTGATTTTATTAAAAAAAAATATTGGTTTTTCCGCATTTGGGATATTTTTGTATCTGTACCTATTCGTACCAATTACTTTCACAAAGTATTTACCTATAGCAAGTATTGATACAGATGGTTTCCTAAAAGTCATTTCCTATATGTTTATAAACTAAAACTTTGCTTTTAGATGCATATGGGTTCAACGGACAGAAGACGCCCAACCATTATGTTTTTATCCATATGGTTATGGGTATATATACACAGAAGTACGTCAAACATCCAATGGATTCCATGTGGCTCTTGAACGTACTACAGAGATGAAGATGTTTGATGATGAAGTTGATTCTATTAGCCTTCAAGTTTATTTTGAAACAAAAAATAGACTTCGATTAAAGGTAAAACCTATCCAGGTTAACTCATTTTTATGTGTACATAGAATATGTATTTATTTAATTAGTTTAATTACCCAGATTGAAAAGTATTTTTTGAATATTTTTTGAAAAACAAAATACTTTTTAAATATATATTTTAATATATATTATATTTTTAAAATACATAATTTTACAACATGTGATTGTTGTAGCATTTTTAGGTAAACTACAAAATATTATTTTAACATTTTGAATTATGTTAAAAAATTTATAGAAATTTTTTTATATATCTTTAATATTATTTAGTCTAGACTATTCTCAAAAATTTTTCAATCATTTATGCACAGTGTTGTTCATTTTAAATACACATAAAAATAATTTTGAACCAGACAGAACTATGGTGGAGAAATTATTTTTAAGTTTTATGGTGGAGATATTTATATTCCAATTTTTGTGATGAGGAAGCATGATTTCCAATAAAGGCATGATTTATAGTAAATGCATGTTGTATATTGCTTTTGTGAAAAATTGATGGTCACACAAATATATTAAACAATAATTGATTTTATTTAAGGAATATTGTTCAAGTATAAAATTAAATAAAATAGATGGTAAGCATCAGCCATAATAAAGATGCATTTAGCCAAAGTCGTATTAGAGATTCTTTTTCAAACATGATGAAATTTTTGGTAAATTAATAATGATCAGACTGGGGGGCTGAAGCCCCTCAGTCCTAAGGCAAATAAACAGTGACTGAATTGTTCCCAATGGAGACTTAGGAGTAGTCAGTT